CTTCCAGCTCTATGATTCTAAGAACAATCCGTTTCACACAGAATGAGAAGCGACTGTCTAGGGAGGAGTATGGCAGAAAGGGATGTAGGGGTCATAGTGGACCACAAGGTAAATAGGGGTCAACGGTGTGACACTGTTGCAAAAAAAGCAAACATGATTCGGGGATGTATTAATAGGTGTGTTTTGAGCAAGACACAAGAAGTCATTCTTCTGCTCTATTCTGTGCTGATTAGTCCTCAATTGGAGTATTGTGTCCAGTTCTGGGCACCACATTTCAGGAAAGATGTGGAGAAATTGGAGGTCCAGAGAAGAGCAACAAAAATGATTCAAGGTCTAGAAAACATGAGCTATGAGGCAAGGCTGAAGCAATTGGACTTGTTTAGTTTGGAAAAGAGAAGACTGAGAGGGGACATGATAGTGGTTTTCGGGTATTTAAAAAGGTGTCACAGAGAGGAGCGGGGAAAATTGTTCTCCTTGACCTCTGATGATAGGACAAGCAGCAATGGGCTTAAATTACAGCAAGGGAGGTTTTGTTTGGACATTAGGAAAAACTCCCTAACTGTCAGGGTGGTTAAACACTGGAATAAATTGTGTAGGGGGGGTTGTGGAATCTCCATCAGTGAAGATATTTAAGATGTCTATCCAAACTGCTCTGTCAGGGATAATGTAGACTATTCTTGGTCCTGCCATGAGGGCAGGGGACTGGATTTGATGCTCTCTCAAGGTCCCTTCCAGTTCCAGTATTCTATGATTTTAAGGATGAAAAGCCATTTTCTACCTGTTTTGCACTTTCTTACAACACCTACAATGGTGGAAAACTGACACTGTGGAGTAGCCACTGACGATGGGAGGGGATAACCCATGAGAGGCAATTGGTTCAGCTAATAGAGGAAGGACAGAAAGACTGAAGAGACCTGCATCCAATTCTTACACAAATGATGGTGGTCAATGTTTGACACTTCTGGAATTTGTATGTCATCGAAAGATCGATGTCATCATGGTCCACACAGCATCATAAAGAAATAGGCAAAAAGAGTGCAGATCTGGGAAAACAGCTAATGATAAGGAACGCAAAATCTAGAACATCTGTCCCATATGAATGAAAAACATCAAAAGATCTCTCAAGTAACAGAATATGTAAGTTAAGAATCTACTCCTTTGAACAAGAGTAACAATTTATTTATTCAGGAGCACAGGACTTCTTTCCCCTCCTGAATTAAAGCCCTCCTTAAAACGCAGAGTGGCAAAACAGCTCCTTCACGCTGGCCTAGGTCTACAATATAGCTCAGGAGTTGTACAGGTAGACTTTTCCTTTCCCTTATAAAAGGGGAAAACAATCTATATCTCACATTTTTGCAGCTGCTGCGCCATTCTTACTAGCTGCACTGCAATGAGATATCTAAATTGACTTCCTCCTGAAAAAAGGATGAAGGACAGTGCCAATTTTAAATCAAAATAAAACCTGTAAATTGAGGTTTAATTGAGGCCTAAAAGAAATCAAATCCAATCAGGCTAACTCCTGTTAACTCCTTGAAGGCAAAAGCCCATGTCAGGAGCAATTGTCATCAAGGAGTATATGAGTTTGTTTCTTTCCTTATCCTTAATTTCAAAATAACTCAGTGATCTGTATTTAATACTCACTGTGCAGCTATTACGAAGGGCTTCAAATTTACGCTGGATTTCATCTCTATGTGCCTAAAGGAGGTAAGAAGTTAATCATCAATTTTTCATACATTAGAATCCAACATCTGTTGCTAAATAAACTGCAGAACAATCTACCAGCAAGCGTGGAAGACAGATGTTGTAGGCTATTAAAGCACTCTGTAGGGAGTGATTAAGTCACATCCTACTTAAAGCACACTCATGCTCACGATTCTGAGCTACTTTAGCAAAATGTAAAACAAACAAACTGGATGATGCAAAACATTCCATTTTAAGTGATCTCCCAGGTAAGTGATTATTTAAATGTTAAATGTGTATCTTCACTTAAGATAATTTGAGTAGTTGTTTTTTACTTCCACATCTGGATTAATACAACACGTAACATGTTTTTAATATACATATTTTAATACTTGCAAAGACAAGTCTACAGATAAGCACTGTGTAAGCTTCCACAAACTGCTCTGCTAATCTACCTCAATCCTACCCCGAGGAACTCCTGTTTCGTCCTAAGCCCCTCCCAAACAGTGACTGAACTAAATAATGGTTTCTTTGGAAGATGAGTCCAAAGTATTAAAAGTTGTAAAGCATTTTTAAAAAATGAAATAATGCATGCATCATTTTACTTCCTTATTAACAAGCCAAGCATGATAAAGCAAAGCTCATGATGGTCTCTCTCAAGATTCACTCAGACTGTCAAACTGATTTAATTTGTGACTAATATCATATGCAAGCTCAGGCCTTAATGGATGAAAGGCTAGTGCACTAGCACATCCTATCCCCTTTCTTTATTCAAGATATTTTCCTTACAACCAAGAGACTCAATAGGAAAAGTTGTTCAGCAGAAGTCCAATGTGATAAATTAAGTTACCTTACTAGAGCAGGCAATGCAAAAAAGACCCTCAAAACAAAACAAAAATCCCAACCCAGTAAACTGGACTAATGTGACAGGAAGGTGCCAGATTGGAATCTTACAAAAGCTGGCACAAAAGCACTACCATTTCACCAGAACAGTTGTGGTAATATCTGCTTGAGCAAGCACAGATCACAAACATTCTTCTGTTTTGATGGAGAGTTCTTCCTACCACACCAACACATCATTCTATTGGCATGGCAGCTAACAACTCTGTCAAGTTTTCAAATTTAAGTGGGACCATCTTAGTTTCGAGCAAATAGAACTGTTTTGTATTTAAGATGAACTGCTGATATGCGCTATTCAATTACTGTAAGTCAGTCATGTTGCTGTTGCATTTTCCTTAAAATCTATTACTCAGCATATACCAGTTTAGAACAACTCTGAGTGAATGATCTCTTCCTCACCCCGGGGATATCCAACAGCATTGGCATACACAAGCACCAGTATTCAGCTGAAACCCCATCCCACCTGAATAGTGGTAATAACAGGAATAAGGATTCAAATGAGATTCTTTTTCATCATATTCCATTGGGGGCAACAGCCCATCTATTTTCAGTACTCTAAAATAACTGGATTTGAAGGTCATTGAAGACTGATGCTTCGATGAGTGATAGCCAGCAGCTCAAGTAAGAGGCCAGTTATTTCTTTGCCTCCCACAGCATTAGCAAGCCTTTGCAAAGCAAACATTTAAAATCCAACAATGTAAAAGCATCTTTTTGTGCTCAAAGTAGCAACCAGCAGCATATACTTTAGTGTTCTGTTTACTGGGCAGGGAAATTCCTTTTTTTTACCCATCATGAATTGTATGTCATTCACACACCTCACAAGAGACTGCAAGATCTAAAAGTAGCAATTATTTATAGAACAGCCTTTAGAGTAAAATTAGAGAAGCAACAGTATTTAGTTGATTTTTTTTCAAAGGGTAGCAGAACTAGCTAATTCATTACAGAGAAAATACCAGAACATTTGTGATCGCATTCCTTTTGAAACAGCACTACTTTCAAAAGTCACACATGAATTTAAAAAATAAAAAATATTTTTTTTAAAAAAGACAATCTTTCTAAAAGCACACAAAGACTAAAAATTAAGAACAAAGTGCAGCAAAAAGTCAAAAATAAAATTTTAAGCTAGCAATGTTGGAGAAAGATTGGATGGCTAAGTACAAATCAAGTTATTTGCTAACTGTTAGCCATCCAATCTTTCTTTTCAATTGCTAGCTGAAAACTTTATTTTTAGTCTTTTGGTGCGCTTTTAGAAAGATTGTCTTTTTTTTAAAAGTTTTTTTATATATATTTTGTTATTCTTGAGTAGATATCTTCTGCTTGAAGCAGTGCTGAGGGGTTATTGAGGAAGCTCTTCCTAGGTAAGGGTGGAGGGGATGATAATGAGGAGAAGGGAGGGTGTGAAGGATAGGAGGGATGTCTGTATGATTTTTGGAAATACTATTTGGACATCTGTTTATTTGGTGGTGGTTATGCTGGTGCTGCATGGGTTCAAAATGTTAATACCTGCAGGAGCTCATCTCACCTCTGCAGGAACCAGACAGTAACTTCAGATGAGCCAATCACTGGTACCTAAGAGTACGTCTACACAGCAGGGCTAAAGTCAAATTAAATGAAGCATGTCAATTGCGTAGCTGAAGTTGAAATAGCTCAACTCAGCTTTTGGTGCTGTCAACACAGCAGGAACTCAAAGGAAGAACACTCTCCCTTCGACTTCCTTTACTCCTCATGAAATGAGGGTTACCATGAGTCAGAGTAAGAATTCCTCCACCTCAACATTATTTTGGCATAAAGGTTTGTAGTGTGGAAGCGCATTTTGTTGTTTTGGAATAATGTCAGTTTTTCCGAAATAACGCTGCTGTGTTAACAGACAATGCAGAGAGAAGCAAAAAGTCAAAGTCCTACAGTAGGAATAATTTAGTGTGGGGCTTTCAGCTTATCAAGTAAACTGATGATGTTCTCACAAATAGACAACAAGCACAAGTATGTTTTGAGAGACAAAAATGCTGACATTTTAGCCACCCCTGCTCCTTCCTCAATCCAAGGCACATTTCATACGTTGTATTGCAAAATAGGGGGAAAAAAAGCAAAATTTAAGTTGAACAACCTCAAAGCTAAGAAGTTAGGACACTTATTATGAAGGTGTATCAACATTCTGTCAGATCTGCAGGGATAGCTCATAGTACCAATCCAGAAGTATAGGACTCACCGTGAGAGCTTGAATCTCCTCCTCTGCCTCAGCTGTAGTCTCCTCCAATTCAGTTTTAGCCTCACGGAGCTGATTCTCTAGGTCTGATCGTGCAACTTGAAGGCCTGAAATCTGAGATTGTCTCTCCTGGAGGGTCAACTGTAATTCTGTTAATTGTTGTTTCAGTTCCAGCTTTTGTTCTTCATGCTCTAAGCTAACCTGCAGAGAAACAGCAGCAGCGGACTATGACTTACTAATAAGGAAATGGAGAGTACAGTTCTTATATTTGTTCATTTCAAAATAGAGGCAGCAAAGTAATTTTGTAATAACAGCTGTTATTCTGAAATAACAATGAGAGCATCTACACAGCAATTCCATTATTTCAAAATAATTTTGAAATAACGGACAGCTTATTCCAACTTCTGTAAACCTCATTCTACGAGGAATAATGCCTATTCCAAAACAGCTATTTTGAAATAAGGCATGTGTAGATGCTCCACTTCTTCTATTTCAAAATAACCCCTCACCAGGGCCATTCTAAGTTATTCCTCCTGGGGCTCTAAATCGAGATAGCACATCTACATTAGGGAAGCCTGCCTCAGACTAATTTTGAGGCTTCCCTGCAGTGCAGATGTGCTATTTCGAAATAAGCTATTTTGGAATAACTATTCCAGAATAATTTATTCTGAAATAACTGTGGAGTGTAGAGGTAGCCTGGGATTGCATGGCAACACTCCAATGTAATGTCAGATTTGGATGGCTTGGTTTAAAAAAAAAAACAAACCAGACATGAGGATAAGTATCCCCAGGATGCTGCTTCATCCAGCACTTGAAAACACTCATTTGGTTTGAAAAATGTTCAAAGATAAAATTATATGGCATTCCGAAATGGAAACTAGGATATGAGAGTAATGCCATCTGTTATAAATATATATCAAATGTTGATTTAAATAATTGTGACAATATGAAAGTTAAAGTATAATTTGTGTGATTATCTTCCATAGTTGCAAGATAATCTATTGCATTTGAGGTTCAGTAAGAAGAAATTATCAATATTACCTTGAATATATAAGAAGATCTATTTCCTGCACTGATGCAACATCATGGCAGATCCTAATTACCGTGGCAGAGTTGAGAAAATAGTTTAAAGAAAGAGTTCCAATTTAACTTCCTGCTGCTGGCTCATTTATATGCCCTCCAAGGATTCCCCTGGGGCAAAAATCACCATTCAAGCTAAAATACTTTATATAAGATGCCTGACTCCTCATATTATTGCAAGTGAATCTGCCCATAATATTGCAGATCTGTGAACAACAGACCTGCCAGAAAACCTCACACTAATGTCTAGCAGCTTGTGGCTAATTAAAGGAATGACATTGGACATCCCAAACATCTTAGCCAAAGTAGAGTTCTGTCTTCCTTAAGAATTAGAGGAGAGACTGCAGGGAAGGAAAAAGAAAATTAACCTGGGAACATGAGGTGGTTCCAACCTATTTCTGCCCGCTGTCCTTTTTATTCAAAAAGAATATAAAAATTTGATTCTTCAAGTCTGCAACTGAACAGAAATGAATTACCCAACTAAGCATATATACTGTACCCACCACCATTATATCTGGGCACTGTTACAGGAGGTTATACAAAAGGATATAAATGAATATGGTTCTAAGAAAGCAAGCTGATCTAGAAACTCAGACTCTGCCAGTCTAAGAAATAAAAACCCAAAATAGTCATGCATAACGCTTTCCAGAAAGCGGTACATTTCTACTGTTACAGAAAATGATGCAAAAGTGGGTCATTCAGCTTGTCATTATCCTGAAGTCCTGAAAAATAAAACTACTACTTAATTGTAATTTTCACAGCTCTCCTTGGAATGGGATATACCCAACTACATCAGTCTGCAAAGGATTAAATTTTCACCTCTCGCAGTCTAGTCTCTAATTCCAACAGCCGGTTCTTATCAGTATGTTCCTGAAGACTTATCTTCTCCAATTGCTCTTCTAGTTTTTGGTTCTGGGCCTCTAACTTCCCAGCCTGTGTTTCCAAGTAGAACTTCTGCTGTCTGAGCTCTGAGATCATCTCCTCCTGGGCTTTCCTGATAGGAAAACAAAAAGCAGCATAATTAAGATACATTTAGATTGTGTAGTTTCATTGGCATAAAAGTTTCCTAGTAAGCAGAATGGGATCATACCACAATTAGCTTTTTCTATTTTAAATTTCACATCCCCTTTATGTAAAAAATATGGTCTTTTATGGCGGCTTCTGCATAGATCCCCAGATGATTAAACTAAGTAAGTGCATCAAGTAGCTCAGATTTCATGGTTTTGCAGGCTGTATATCTGCTTGTACATGGAGAAAAGTGAACACCAAACCTTGGAAACCTACAAGAATGCTTGATCTACAACTCATTCTTAGCTTTCACATTTTCCTTGTCATTTGTTTTTCCATCTGGGGAAGAAATGTATGGAAGTTACTGCTCCCAGCATTGCGACATTAGATTTCCAATTTAAACATCAAAGGAACTGACACTGGCTTCACTGCATACAGATTAGTTCTGAACCTTGGAAACTTGCTAGGAAGCCAGTCTGACCAATGCTTTAGCAAACTTTTGCTCTGACAAACTCTCATGTATGCAAAGAACACACAATTAGTTCTCCCAAAATATTCACACTCTGGTAACATCTGCTACAGGCAATTATCTATATTTTCACTGAAGACTTGATAGATGCCCTAATTGAAAAATAATAGAAAAGCTTTTTCTGAATTAGTGGTGGCACTATTACAATCATATTGTAATACATTTGAAAACTTCCATTCAGGTTCTTCACAGAGCTTACCGACATGAATGAACTCATATGCAGAAAAACACTGAGATAAGTGGTATTATCCCTCTCCCAGAGAAATCATGTGGGTTGGCCAGGATCACATAACAGAGCTAAAAATAGAACCCAGAACTTCTGAGTCACATTCCTGTGCTTTAACAAAATCATCCTTTCCCCCTTTTTAACCTCCCTCAGCTGATTACTGACAGCCATAACTGTCCAACTAGCCTGGGAAACAGTAGAATGAGAAATGACTCCATCTCCTTCATTCATTAGCTTTCTTAGCTACTGATAGAACAAAGGCTAGTTGGATTCCATGTTTCCTTGAAGGCTCTAACTGCTAACTGTCCATTTTGATGATGCTCAGTTTTATGGATTCAAATATGGTTTAATCACAGATTTTCCTCTCCATGGATCATCACCTTGTAAGTGGTGGAGAGGCTTGAGTGTTCCAATGACCCTGAGAGCGATGCTGCCTGGAGTCATGTGCTCCCTTAGGGTCACCCATGACAGAACCATCATGGGCAAGGTTCCAGACAAAGCGTGAACCAAAAAGCCCTCAATGGCAGAGCAGACAGAGGATAACTGCACAATGGAGGTGAAACTATTGTGTAATGTTACAGCAGCTGTGAAGGTGGATGAAGGCTGCAGCAGATAGAGGATCTCCAATTGTCATGGTGTCCATGCCATTGGTTTCTAGCCCTCTATCTGTCAAGGACAGTGTGGTGACTGTTGTGCACCCATCTCCCCACTTTAAAAGAAGTCCCGCACAGGCGTCTTCCAGTTTTTGGGAAAACAGCACCTGCACAAGTCAAAAGTCTGGTGGCGATTAGCGAGTGGCGATGGGAAGAGGACAGTGAGATCTGGAAATTCCTAGTCACAGACCGACACGCAGGTGGTGGGTGTGTGATTCAGTCGTCTTGCTCGAGGACTGAGGCAGGTTGAGCATCTCGGCTGCTGCACCCATGACTGAGCAGTCCTCTTTAGGGCCCACTCTGCTCACCCCACATGGGGAGGGGGCTAGAAAAAGTGCCTTAAAATAGTCTTCCCTCTTCCCATTGGCTGGATAGCCACATCCAGCAGGATCACCACCCCAGCAGTCGAAAACGTAAGAAACTTTTCAACTTTGGAACCTGGAACACATGCACCCTGATGGACAAGTCAGACAGTGACCGACCAGAGCGACACATAGTTATCATTGCTCGTGAATTCAATCGGTTTAACATCGATATTGCTGCCTTGTCTGAAACTAGAAGAGCTGATGAAAGACAGGTGAGGGAGGAGAAAGGAGGATACACCTATTTCTGGAAGGGAAAATCTTTAGATGAACCTCGATTGTATGGAGTAGGCTTTGTTATAAAGAAGAAGCTCGTAAGGTGCCTCTCTGAGCTGCCAGTAGGCATCAATGAGCGGCTTATGACGCTCCGATTGAGGCTCCAACAGGAAACTATTGTGAGTGTCTAGGCACCAACAATGGATGCCAATGAGGATGTAAAGGAACGTTTCTACTCTCAGCTGGAAACCATTTTATCAGAGTTCCCTAAAGAAGATCAGATCATTCTTCTGGGGATTTCAATGCACATGTTGGACAAGACTCAGACCTGTGGAAAGGAACAATTCGGGCCCTCAATGTGAACTGTTCTTATTACAAGATTAAGTAAGGTTTAATTTACAATGCTTTTTGCTTTTCCCCAATATAAAACACTGCTGTTTGCATACCTTTGAAGGTCTCTGTGAAAGGCTGTTTGTGTGAATGAGAGAAGTATGCATCAGGAAGAGATAAGGTGTGAAGGCCATCATTAAAGCCATCTGGTCAAGAGAGAAGGGGGAGAATGCGGGGTGAATACAGACTCATTGGTGTCAGAAAATCATCAGCGCACATCATGATTAAGGAAGGGGCAGATTGACGGCTCTAAAGGTGAAGGCTGGCACCCCTAAAGACAACTGATTAACAATCCAGGACAGGATGACCTCTCGGAGGTGTTTTGGAATATTAACATCAAAAGATAACACCAATTAAGGAGTAACCGGTCACACACAGACTGACACAGAGAAATCCATAGAGGAAAGGATTATAAAAGCAGGGTGCTTTGCCATGGAACTTTGGGTTCGTCTTGCCACCAACTCCAGGAGCATCGGATCGCGACCGACAAAGCCCAGCTCCCTTCTGCAATCAATTTGGCTGACCACTAGATTGATCCAGACTCTGGACTGGTAACTATAATAACATTGACTGGAGGGACTGTGTGCATGGTGTGGGTGGGTGGGTGACTGAAAAGC